TCATTAACTCATACCATTTCTCTACAGATATTACAATATCACTAGAAGACATTTTGATTACTTCATTAACTCTTACCATTTCACTACAGATATATCAATATCACTAGAAGACATTTTCATTACTTCATTAACTCATACCATTTCTCTACAGATATTACAATATCACTAGAAGACATTTTGATTAATTCATGCCACTTCTCTGCAAATATAACAATATCACTAGAAGACATTTTCATTACTTCATTAACTCATACCATTTCTCTTCCAATATAACAAGGTCACTAGAAGATATTTTGATTACTTCTTTAACTCATACCATTTCTCTACCAATATAACTGGAAGATATTTTGATTACTTCATTAACTCATACCATTTCTCTACCAAGATATATAACAAGATCACTAGAAGATATTTTAATTACTTCATTAACTCATACCATTTCTCTACCAATATAACAAGAATCACTAGAAGATATTTTGATTACTTCATTAACTCATACCATTTCTCTTACCAATATAACAAGATCACTAGAAAGATATTTTGATTACTTCATTAACTCATACCATTTCTCTACCAATATAACAAGATCACTAGAAGATATTTTGATTAATCCATTCCCCTTCTCTGCAAATATAACAATATCATTGGAAGACGTTTTGATTACTTCATTAACTCATACCATTTCTCTACAGATATAACAAGATCACTAGAAGATATTTTGATTACTTCATTAACTCATACCATTTCTCTACCAATATAACAAGATCACTAGAAGATATTTTGATTACTTCATTAACTCATACCATTTCTCTACCAATATAACAAGATCACTAGAAGATATTTTGATTACTTCATTAACTCATACCATTTCTCTTCCAATATAACAAGATCACTAGAAGATATTTTGATTACTTCATTAACTCATACCATTTCTCTACAGATATTACAATATCACTTTTACTTTGCAGTAGTAGCCGCTCATTGCAACAGCGCCACAGATACTTATCTGCCTACCGTACTCAACTGATAACGCCTACTAGTTAATGGCGTCAGGAACAACTCCGCTCATAGTAATACTCATAAGGAAGCTATAAAAAAAAAAATAATAATAATTTTCAAATTTTCTTTTAAATATCAAAATCATAAATCATTAACAATCAAATCAGCTTATTTTTGTAGAAATAGCTCACTAATTAAGAAAAAAAGCGCAATTTTTTTCTTTCACAAAACTCTTATTTCATTTGTTTTGCAAACAAATAAAGTCGCAAAGTCAAATGGAAAAGAAAATTCTATATATTGTTTTATAAACTATTAATAATGAAATGAATAAATAGATTAAATGAAATTTCGTCACAGCTAACACTATGAATTACTTTAAAAAGCATAGCTGTATAACATACGTGATGAATACGTTAAATAACTGATGAGCAAAAAAGTTTCTTAGCAATACATTGAAAACATACGTAGAGTATAAATCATCAATGAATTGTTTAACAAATTTTGCGAATCAAGGAAAGCATATATTAAATCACAACTCTTACTAATCAGGTAATATCAAAATAGCAAAGCCAGTTCGACAGGAATCCGCATGTCCGAATATTTTGATAAGTAATTATGGCAGTCCTTTCATACTGATTGTAACAATAATTCAAGTTTTTTATTAGTAGCTTACATTGATTTATCGTTTAAATTTTCAAAATTAAAAGTTTTCTTTCTTCTAGAATTCTAGAAAACTCGTAATTCTCCGTTTTTCTCTCTTTCACTTTTAAGGTATTATATGAAATCATTAATATAAAACTATTAAAGTAATGAAAAAATATTCAAAAACTAAAATAAAAAAGTTGAAAAGTACTGTAGTATGTTAGATATTGTATTTTGAATCCGAGTTATTGATAATAAATTACTCTATCAATGAGCGAAAATGGAGCCGACAGAAAAATGGAACCGACAGGACTTTATTGGAAAGGAAAGCACAGGTCTGTTATTGTATATTATTAAACTGGCATGTATTTATTTATTATTAAACTGGCATGTATTTATATATTATTAAACTGGCATGTATTTTCCTGAAAGGACTGAGGTATTACATTCGAATATGTTAATGTTTAGTGCACTCACGCGAATAAAACAGTGTTGTGAAGGTTTTTTAGGACAATTAGAAATTATTGTAAAATTTGAGATTTAGATACAGTTTTTCCAGATCAACAAGCGTATAGTTGAGCGAAATGTGGAGAATGGAAGTTCATTTATAATTTGGGATTCAGATGAATTTCAGTGGATGAAGGACTGTCGCCGTATATACATTTTTAAACTTAGTGATTTTCGTCCTTTACAAAGTTTCTTTTAGTCGGAATTTTATATTTTCTATGTCAATATTGATAATAGGAAATCTATTTAACATAGTTATTGCACAAAAGTTGCTTGTTTATGACAGAAGTTTGCATCCCCAATTAGCTAAGTTTAGCGGGTATCGCTAATTTTTCCTCTAGAGCTATCATCAATGCAGTATTGTCGAGGGAGGATTGTTTGATGGTGATGAGCACTGGAAACAGGAAAAGTCTTTGCTATTAGTTACCTGCTGTTGTTATGAAAGGTCTAGTATTGAGTTTTTTATTAAAATTATGTCTAAATGATACAGTTTGTCAAGCAATATTCAACCCTTATTCAGGAAATTAATAAGCTCTGCACACTTTCTGTTTGTTTTTATATGTGTCGTATTGGTTATACCACCTTGGTATCTCTCATTGAAAATCAGTTGCATCAATTAAGAAAATTGGGCATTGATGCAGCAACACTAAATCAGTCCACCGCGGAGGTAAGAAATTGATTTATTTTGTTAAATTTTTAAGAGGGAAATTTTATTTATGCCTGACTAGAAAATACATCAAACTCAGTTAATTCTAAGATGGATATTTTATGATTCATAATGGCCTTTTTTTTTATCTTTACTACATAGTTAAAAGTCGAGTTTTGTTTGCCAACAAACTTATCACACTGCTTGTATAATGTGTCGATGAAAATATCTTATTCAATCCATTCAGAAGTAGATATTGTACTGTGATAATGAAACAGCCGTAGCATTAGCTACTAGTTAGCTTCCAAGCTATTGAACTATAAATTATAAATCGTGATTTTTCCGATAAGATTAAGTGTTGTTGTAACCTCAAAGTTCATTTATTTTATGTTGTATAGCTTATATTTTTTTTGAAATGATTTGTGTCCTATTAGATTACTGCATTCAAGATTTTCGAGTACAATAATCTTTCTGAAAATTCATTAAGGTACATCTCCTGATGGTGTTGGCTACAAATTATCTCTAGCCATATACTGCATTTTTTGGAATGCTTATGATGCTTTGTTTGACCGTTTGCTTTAATTTATTCTCTAATTAATGGTAATATTAAGTAGTAGGAAATGAAAGATTTTAGTTTTCAAAGCGAGAGAAATACAGCAAAGAATTTTATTTCGTAAATAATATACTTTGATAAAATGAGAGGTGGAGAAAAATACAGTTTTTTTTTTTGTTGTACATGTAAACGGTGTAAAAAAACTGCTACCTTAAATTATTCTCTTTTGGATCCTTTAACTGATTTCATTATTTAGGATTTGCTGTGATGATGAGGAATTGTTATTTCAAAGTGGTAATAAAATGATTATGATTTAAAAAATATCTGATATATATTGATAGGTAAATCGAATATAAACAGCACTTACTGATTCAAAGGCATCGCTACGCTTGCTTTATGTCACGCCCGAAAAATTAGCAAAAAATAAGAGGATTATGAATCGTTTGGAAAAAATGTAACGAAATGAAACGATTAAAAGTTAGTTGTTGAGCGTAGCCAGTTCAGTTTTATTTATTTATTTTTTATTTTCTAAGTTCTGTTCAATTATTTACTTGTTAAAACGAAGCAGTGTTTTAACTTCTCCATACTGTCTATTTTACTTTTCAACTGTCGCAAACTGATTCTAGACTATATTTTTGTGAAAATATAAATTAATAAATGAAACATGAACATATTCTGTTGAAGTGTTTGAATAGAATGTGACTTTTAAATAGTATAATCATGATGTTAAATTAATTTAATTTTAAATTTGTGAAATTACTTTTTTTATAAATTTTAGTTGATTGCGGTTGATGAAGCATACTACTGCTCGCAATGAGGACATGATTTTCCGCCAGATTTTAAATTTCTTAATGTTTTGAAACATCAATTTCAAGCTGATTAGACTAACTATAACCGCTGCTGCTGATATTATTGACGATGTGAAAAACATGCTGGGGATTCCAGGTTTTGTGATTTATGATTAATCTGACTAATTTTTTAAATAGGCTAAGTATATATATATATATTCACTACCTGCTATCTTTCCCTATCTTTCCTTCTTTCTTTCGCAGTTGGTTTTTCTCTCCTCCTTTTTTTCTAGCTATTATTCACAATATTCTAAGTATTGTTACTATGGCAATTTGTGTCTAAACCTGGCTAGAGAATATGGAAAAAGTTAGAGTTGGGATGTGAGAGGTAATATGGTAGAATATATAAGAGGAAGTGAAGGATTCATTCTGTTCAGTTCAGTTCGTTTCGATTCGTTGTAATGCGTTGGGGGAAAGGTGGTGTGTCTGTTAGTGTGTTTAAGGTGCGTGTGTTATAGGAATAGAGTGAAGGGTTTTATGGTATCTCTCATTTTATTTTCTTTTCCATCGTTTTGAAAACATAGCTACCGATAAGCAGATTTATTTTTTATTGCTCTATGGTTTGAAACTTATTATTTTGCTACTACTTGATTGCTTCATGAAGAGTGAGAGAGAGATTGGTAGAGATGAAGAATTAGTTCGAATAAAAATGTAGTGTTGCTTTTTTGATGTGATTGTGGAAAAAGACACAGTGATGATAAGAGTGATTCAGCTGACAGCTAATTAAGAGGAGGAGGAAGAGAACGGACGACAACGAAGCGAAGGATTCGAACGGTGGTTCTGTGGGGATGTGAAGTGTGGAAGAATGACAACTGTCGTTTTCCTCATCGGTTCCAGTGCCTCGATGGCACAAAAAACGTATCAGGGCACCGCGATGCTGGATGTAGCGCGGTCTATTGTTGAATTGATTCTCAAGGTAATTCCATGCCTGCTGTTTACTCATCCTTTCTCACAGTTGTGATTCAGACTGTCGCTTAATAAGATATTTGGAATAATGGATTGGTTTCAGGAGAAATGCTGCCATTTTTTACTACTTACAAAGTTTCGAATTTTGTTTTGAGCTATTTTTAGAAGTAAAAAGTTATATTTGTTTAAATTCTACTTTCCCATACAATATTGATAGTTTGTAAAACTTTTTTGCCTATTTGTTATCTCAATTTTTTAAAGTAAGGAGAACAATATAAGGAATTGCAGCAACGGGTGCATGATACAAGTGCGCGTGGTGATCGATATATGCTGATGTCGTTCGAAGATTTTCCTATGAATGTAAAGGTTCGTAAAAGCTGAGCTAACAATATTGGAGATATCAATCTATAAATGGCAACATTATCTTTCTGGATTGGAGATGATAGTGCGGGAGAAAAAAGTTTCAGGAAACTGTGGAGAGGGAGAAAAAGGAAGGAGAAGCGCCAAAAGACATCATTAAGAATGACGTACAATTCCTGCATTTAAAATGAGGAAAAAGGAAAAGACAGTCGCACAAGAGTTGAAATTTTCATATTTCAAAAAAAAAAAACTGACCATAAAATGAAACTGTGGATGAAATAGGCCTGAACTACTGGTTTTGGCGCTATGTGCTTAACACTTATAAACTCATCTGAAGAGTTCATTGGAAAGCTGCTTATTTCGGGATGAGAAGTACTTTTTACCATCAGCCTTATAGAGAACGATCGTTGAATTTCGCATAAGAATAATGTTCTCTATTGTCGTGAAACTGAATGCACATGACTAGATGCAACTATACAGTGCATGGAGGTAGTCTATGTCGCGAATTATAATTTCGCGAAAAAATCTATCTAAAATAATAATAAAAAAAAGAAAGTTTTAATAAAAATTAATTAATCATTTTTAGTTTCATAATATCATAAACTAACCTCTTATGATTTATTACTCATGAGATTTTGAGTAAAATCTATTGTAAACACTTCCAATTCTTATCACACATGATATTATCTTAGACACGCTCAATCCTCACTTATATAAATTCAATTCTAATAAACAAAAATGTTTCATTGTCATTATTATCGACTACTTTCTATTAACCAATATCAATTCCTCCGATCTTCATTATTATAAGTTTCTTCTCTCCTTTTACTGCTCTGTTTATTAATACTACGTTTGCGAAAAATAAAGGCTTATTAATCCTTCTACTGTATTGCAACCAATTCGAATATCAACCAACAAACCCTTCACGACAGTCTAGTCAATGCAGCCGAGATTCCGAATAAGACTTAATCGAATTTAAATTTAAAGAAAATTTCTAAAATAAGCAATTTTTGGAAGCATAATAAAGTTCAAACATAATGTTGTGGGGTTGTGTATACCCATCCTTGCTGACGTCTTTGGGTTTGGTTGATTCGGTTAAGGAGGAACGTAAAGTGCAAAGTAGTCATCGGGGCGCTTCTCCTACTCCCACGATTAGGGAAAGAGAAATATTGTCATATTGTCATTTGCGATAGAGAGGATGAACAAAATTAGAGAAAGTAGATGTGAAGCATATAGAGAAGGGAAAGAAGAGCCACACGGTTAAAAAATTGGTGGGATTTTGTGGTTTGAAAATAGAGTTGAGTTAGAATGAAATAAACGGGAGAGTATTCAGGATGAAAAAAACAAAGTGTTGGCGGTGATTGTGGCTATGTTAACCCTAATCTGCCACCAGCATCGTATTGGTGAAATGCATACAATTGCTTCGCAAATCACATATTCTATGATGAAATATGTTTATCATTGAATAAGGACGATTGCAAAGGATCCATTGCTGGAATCTAATAGACTTGCCTTTATTTGCTAAAAAATGACCTTTAATTTTTGAATGATCGTTAGAGAGTTACGTATGACATATTGAAATTACTGGCGTATATTTGGTCCACTGATTGGATAGAGTTGAAAGGAAATTAGAATTCAACTTACGATTTACTGAAAATATTGGGTGGGTGTAGTATGTCGGCAATGATAGTTTCGTGGATTCTGTTGGGAAAGTTATCCTTCCTTTATAATTTCATTGAAAAGGAAGAGTTAAGAATTTCGGATTTTAAAATGGATGGACGAACTATCCTACTTTTTGTTATATGTGGTTCCAGTTGAGTAGAAATGCACTAATCAAAGTGGCAGGCATACAAATCATGAATCGGTGTCGCGAATTATAATTTCGCGAAAACTTCTATCTAAAATAATAAGAAGGAAAATTAATAAAAATAATTAATCATTTTTCAATTGTAACTAATTTCATAATATCATAAACCAACTCCTCATAAAACTAGTTTCTCAAGATTTAAAACCAATAAAGACTAATTAATCATTTTTTAATTGTAAACAATCCCATAATATCATAAACAATCTCTCCTTAAATCTAGTTCCTTAAAATTTATTACTCATGTGATTTTAAGTAAATTTATAAACACTTCTAATTCTTAAAATTTATCTTAGACACGCTCAATCCTCACTTATATAAATTCATTTCTAATAAACAAAATTATTCATTGTCATTATTGTCAACTACTCTCTGTTAACCAATATCAATTCCTCCGATCTTCTTTATTATAAGTTTCTTCTCTCTTTTTACTGCTCTGTTTATTAATACTACGTTTGCGAAAAATAAAGGCATATTAATCCTTCTACTGTATTGCAAACAATTCGAATATCAACCAACAAACCCTTCATGACAACAAAATTTATTGGTGCCACGAGCCGGCAACATGTCAAGCCACATTATCGCGAGCTTTCAACCGGCAAAGGAAAGGTTAGTCAGTCTTCTTAAAGAAGTAAATCAACTGGAGATCAAATCTCCAGAACCAAGTATGACAATAGAAGAAAAAGAAGATTTTTATATAATAAGAAAAAAAGTGTTAGAAGATAAACTTCGAAGAATCCAATTATGCGTGACTACGCTTGAATCTATCAACGATAAATGGTTCACATATACTCAACAAATCGTCACGATGAAAAGAAGAGGAAGAAAGTAACAGAAGGTGACCAAAGAATATTTCAATTATTACACGAAGGAAAGGAAGTAGTAATAACACTAATAATGCACAAGGATGAAGTCGACCAAAACTTAAAGCAACTCTCAAAGGAGTTGACAAACAAACAAACAAAAGAAGAGGCAAAATTTACTCCTTCTTCAAATATTAATGTAAATATTCCTAATTTATCGCTCCCTACTTTCGATGGAAACCCTAGACAATGGCGACAATTTTGGAGCAGTTTTAACGCAGCAGTCCACACACAAGCGATTCCAGAAATACAAAAATTGAATTACTTGTACTCATGTCTTAAAGGAAAGGCTCTACAAGCAATATCTGGATATGATATAGCTCCAGAGAATTATGAAGTCATCAGAAAACTGCTCAATGAAAAATATGGCGATTACTCAATAGTAACAACATTACTCTACAACGAACTCCAATCAATTGAACAAAACGAAAGAGAATGGATTGGAACAATTGAAAATATAGAACGAGTACTGCGCCAGTTAGAAGCTCTAGGAGAAAGCCTTGAGCACTCAAATATTGAAATCTTGATCGAGAGCAAGTTGCCATTATGGATATTAAATAAAATATATAAACACAAGAAGAAGGCCTTGGTCAATTCTCAAACTAAGAAACTTTTTAACAAGTTTAGTTAATGTGAATGAACAGATTAGAAACTGTCAACATTCACTCACTCAACTCAATATTAAATCTACAACTACCAAACAGGAACAAAAACAACGATACAATCCCGGAGGAACTTCAGCATTGTCGACAATAAAAGATAATCAAAATACTTCGAAAATTACAACAACGAAAAGACGACCATGTGTATTTTGCAATCAAGATCATTGGGACAGCGATTGCGTGAACTACACAACTCTCAATGCTCGGCTTAGTCGTCTCAAAGTGTTGAAGAAATGTACTATTTGTCTTAGAGACAGTCACAAAGGACAGAATTGTAATGTCAAAAAACAATGTTTTTATTGCAAAAGCTCACATAATAGTGCTTTATGTAATAAAAGGAATTCACTTTCTTTAAACAATACAATGTCTCAAAGAAATGAAGAGCATGAAAGAATTGGACCTTCGAAACGAAAGGATTGTTCAACTTCCCTCTATAACTCCACATTAACAACTCAATCCAAACAGACAAAGGAAACCTTACTTTTATGTAAGAGATAAAGGTTTTTAATCCATCACAACCTCAACTACAACAAAATACCCTTGCATTATTTGATATTGGATCGCAACTCTCCTTCATCTCCAAAAAATTATCACGTCAATTAAAGTTAACCGAAATAGAAACTCAAATTATGAGAATAGCTCCATTTGGTATGAAAGAACCGAAATCATGTCCCACTGCTCGCATACAACTAAATGTGCTAACTACCGAAAGCGAAATCATACAACTACAAGCAAATATAATTGATTATCTAACAAACGAACTGCAGGTAGTGGAGACATCGAATGAATTTCAAATTCAAAATTTGACAAATTATTGGAAAAAACCTGACGTATTGATTGGAGCTGACTATTTTTTCAAATTTATTAACCTAGAGAAATTAGGGAATTGAAATCAGGACATATGTTGGTTCAATCAAAAGTTGGTCCAATGATTGCTGGAAGTGGAGATATTAAGAAACTCTGCAAGAACGAATTATATCCTAAAGAAGTAGTATATTCTACAAACGTCAATATTAGCACGGAGCTAGAAAAATTTTGGAAATTAGAGACGATTGGTATCCAAGAATCACCTCAAGATGATGATGATGATCAAGCTTTAAAGCATTTCAAACGGACCATCATCAAGCAGGGTGGAAGATATCAGGTTTGTTGGCCATGGAAAGACTCCAAACAAAAATTAAGCAATAATTATGGATTATGTCTGGGACGATTGAAGAATTTGATCAACCGCCTACAACATAATTCAAATCTCCATTCATATCATCAAATACTTATGGATCAACTACACTCAGGTATAATTGAAGAAGTACCTCCAAAGGATGAGGTAGGCGTTATTCATTACTTACCACATCATGAAGTATTAACTCCCAGTAAATCAACAACTAAATTAAGAATAGTATATGATGCTTCAGCACATCACAAAGGTTTTAAAAGCTTAAATGAAGTACTATATCGAGGTCCAGTAATGTTACCGGATTTAGTTGGAGTAATATTACGTTTTCGGATGATGAAAATAGTAATAACCGCTGATATCGAAAAGGCATTTTTACAACTAGAACTACAAAATGAGGAAAGAAATTGTACACGTTTTCTTTGGATAGATGATATTGATAAAGAACTAACCAATGAAAATATAAAATGTTACCGATTTAAGAGAGTTCCTTTTGGAATAATATTCTCACCCTTCTTATTAGCAGCAACATTAAATTACCACCTAGAAAATCATGGTAGTGAATTGGCATGGGAGATAAGAAAGAACTTATATGTAGACAACGTTATTATATCAGCTAATGGAACAGAAGAAGCCTTATATAAATATGAAAGAACGAAAGAAATTTTTGGTGAAGCATCGATGAACATAAGAGAATTTCTTTCAAATGACGAAGAATTTAATGAAAGAATACCTGAATGCGACCTAAGCCAAACAAGCCGGGAAAATTTTCTTGGTCTTAAATGGAATCATGAAAGAGATATTATCCGTGTGACACTGACACCATGGATAGGAAAAAGTTTAACCTACAATTCATAGCCTCTCGATATGATCCATTGGGTCTTCTCGTTCTTATAATGATCATACAACATTTATGGAAAGAAAACATTCCATGGGATCAATCTCTAAACAAACAGGACGAACAACAGTGGATAAATCTCATCAAAGAATGGCCAACAAATATAATAGAGCTGCCAAGATTTATAATGGAAACTTCACGATTAACAGAATTCCATATATTTACTGACGCTTCGAAAGTTGCCTATTCTGCAGCTATTTATATTCTCAATCATGGATATCAAGACACATATTCTTGATTTATGCTAAATCTCGAATTGCTCCAATTAAAGATATGTCAATTCCTAGACTTGAATTATTATCTGTACTAATTGGAGTAAGAGCAGCTCAATTCGTATTGAAACAATTAAGTTTTGAAAATAATCAAGTTACTTTGTGGACGGATTCAAAATGTGTTCTTTACTGGATACAGAATTATACAAAAGCTACTTCCCAGATTTATACAAAATCGCATCGAAGAAATAAGGAAATCCAACTTCGAATTAAAATACATACCAAGTAATCAAAATCCAGCAGATATAGCCACCAAAGGAGTATCACCACTTAAACTCCAAAATTGTAAACAATGGTGGAAAGGACCTCGATGGTTGGAACTCAAGAAATCTGAATGGCCAAAGTGTAAACTTCGCTATTCAGGAAACGATGAATTTGCAGAAGCAGTTGCTTTGAATTTGACAAAGATAACTCAAACTTCTAAAAGGGATACAATTGAATTTGTTGACGAATGTCGCTTCAGCAGTTGGATAAAAATAGTTCGAGTAACTGCTTGGACTTTTAGATTTATTAAACAAACCTGCAAAAAGAAATTAGTGTGACTAGAACCTTTATCCGTAAAAAAGAAATATATGACTAAAATTGATTACGATATAGCAGAGGCTATGCTGATCAGACAGGCCCAATCACAATTGCTAACGGAGGACGAAAAGGAAAAATGGAATCTATATCTAGATGATGATAACTTATGGAAATTAATGAGTCGACTGGAAAATTCAGAATTAATGGACGAAAGCAAATATCCCATATATTTACAGGACCATAATTATATTACTGATCTTATTATTTTACACAAGCATAAAGAATTATATCACGCAGGTATTGCGCATACGTTATCTGAATTAAGACGAAAATATTGGATACCGAAAGGAAGAGCTGCTGTAAAACGAATTATAAACCTATGCTGTTATTGCATTCGCTGTAAAGCTAAACCGTTTAAACTGCCAGCGATGCCAAGTTTGCCAGAAACACGAGTAAAACGATCCAGAACCTTTGAATAAGTCGGCCTAGATTATATGGGTCCCTTTCAGTCAAATCTAATACTGGTCTAGTCAAAAGATGGATAGCACCTTTTACGTACTTCACCACCAGAGCGGTGCATCTAGAAATGGCGGAGAATTTATCTGCCGAGAATTTTTTACATGTTTTAAGAAGATTTATCGCTCGACCTGGATATCCAAAATTAATATTAGACGATAATGCAAGCCAATTTCAACTGGTATTCAAAACTATTACGGAAGAAAACGCTAATTTTTTGGCGACAAAGGGTATGGTATGGAAAAATACTATACCAAGAGCACCATGGGGTGGTGGTGTGTATGAAAGACTTATAGGACTCACGAAAAGGGCATTAAGAAGAGCAATAGGAAGAAAACTTCTAAAGGAAGGAGAATTAATAACATTAATAGTTGAAATAGGAGAATTAATAACATTAATAGAGAATTAATAACATTAATAGTTGAAATAGAAGGAATCCTTAATACCCGTCCATTAACTTATGTAGGGTTTGACGACTACAGAATCATTCGTCCAATTGATTTTATATCACCTATGGCTTTTTTAGATCTACCAATAAATTATGATAGTGATCAAGATGAATATACCCCTTATACAATAAAGATTAAAGATAAGTTAATCAAGTATTGGACTACCACTCTTACCACATTAGATGTCTTTTGGAAGTTGTGAAAAGAAGAATATCTTACAAGTCTTAGAAAACGCACACAAAGAGAATTAAAATCACCTAGAATAGTAGAAAAAAGAGTACCACATGAAAATGAGATAGTATTACTAAATGAACCAGAAGTACCTCGTGGTGTATGGAAATTGGCAAGGATAATAAAAATTAATTGAGGATGGGATGGAAAAATAAGGAGTGCAACTATACAATTACCGAATGGAAAACAAATCGATCGATCAATAAATATGCTTTATCCTATGGAAATAGATGCTACTGAAGATAAAGAAGAAAAAGTGGAAGAACCCATTGCTCGACGAACCAGAAGTGCTAAAAAATCACAAACTACAATCTATGCAAAAGACAAGTCTAATCTTTTGATAAAAACTTTATCATTGATAACGATGATGTCATTAATACCAAGACAGGTATTAGCTAACAATAGCTGTAATTGGATTGCTGGAGTACCCTTTAATATTCCTGAAAAATGGAATTGTGAAGAAATTATTCACAAAAATGCTACATATCACAAAGTGGATGTGTACACACGCACCCATGTAAGAATACCAGCTATAAAATATAGTAACATTACAAGGACTGTATGCACGAAAGCCTTTCTCAGAATATCGCTATCGGTAGTGTCAGACCATACGTCTACTATCGCAACTTCTTCACAATTCTGCAGATATTTAAATATTCGAAAACAAATGAACGGAATTGGACTGATTCAATCTTCTCCTAATCAATGGATAACGAATAAGGAAATACAATACTCCTATGGATGATTAGGAGTTAACTGTCAATCAACTTCAAACTTCATATTAACTCAAGGAGAAATTCTCATCTACGATGGAAGAGGGTCAGTCTCTAACCTTGAAGATATAAAAGACTGTTTGACACAAAAGGGTGAATGCATAACGAATACTAGCATTATCATAGGGAATAGCAATGATACGACCAATCATTGTTTATATCGAAAGATCGGAAGATTCAAGGCTACAAAGTATAACAACCACTTCATCATCGATGAGATACAAGCATCGCTTATAATTGATAAAAACCCCTCTGTATTAAATACCAAAAATTGTAGATTCACCTCTCCAATTTTAATGCAGGGCGATATAGTTATTGAACTAGACGTTGAAGATGACTCGAACTCTACTACAAAATTCAAACGAAGAGTAACAAATAAACTATTGATGATGGAAAAGTCTCCGGATAAAAAGTACGATCCTGAAAATGTAAAACTTCAATACCTTTCTGATTCACTAAGACAAGAATTCCTTCAACAACTCAAAGAAACACAGCAGAGAAGTTGCCAAAACAGAAATAACTTATTACTGTTAATCAAATGGTTGTCAATCAGCAATTCTACCCTTGCAGCGAAACTTATACTTCAAAGAAACGATGTGATAGCTAAAAGAATTAACGGAAATTTGATGGTGGCTCCTTGCAAATCAGAACAATCAACAATCGAAAATATCGAATTCAAAGGAGATTTAATAAGTAAGTTTGAAATTGAGAGAATTAATGCAGAATTGGAAATCCTAACTCAAACTCAAAAAGCAATTAATTCAATACCACATCAAATGAAGGATGAACTCTTTTGGCAAGAAATCTCTGAAGAAGGTGAAGAAATTATCAAACAAATGGGAAAGGAATTCAACGAAATTGTCCTACCGATAGAAGAAGAATTTGAAAACGTGATAACACATTGAAAATTGATTTTTTTCTGTTTAATTATCGTGACAATATTAACTATTTTTGTCATTATTAAGTGGAAATTTAAATTAGTTCAATCCCTCCTTTGTAATACTTCAAAACAAAATTCAAGTCAAGCTACCATCATTATGGAAATTTAAATTAGTTCAATCCCTCCTTTGTAATACTTCAAAACAAAATTCAAGTCAAGCTACCATCATTACTCTCCCTATAGAATCACCACACAATCAATTCCTAACTAAAGAAGAAATCCCACCTATTAAACTCCGTACGTTTAGCTACATACCTCAAAATCACTCTCTCAAAATTACATCTTAAAACAATCTCTCGCGCCCTTTAGGAGTGTCGCGAATTATAATTTCGCGAAAACTTCTATCTAAAATAATAAGAAGGAAAATTAATAAAAACTAATTAATCATTTTTCAATTCTAACTAATTTCATAATATCATAAACTAACTCCTCATAAAACTAATTTCTCAAGATTTAAAACCAATAAAGACTATTTAATCATTTTTTAATTCTAAACAATCCCATAATAAAACAATTTCTCCTTAAATCTAGTTTCTTAGGATTTATTACTCATGTGATTTTAAGCAAATTTGTAAGCACTTTCAATTCTTAACACATGATTTTATCTTAGACACGCCCAATCGTCACTTATATAAATTCAATTCTAATAAACAAAATTATTCATTGTCATTATTGTCGATTACTCTCTGTTAACCAATATCAATTCCTCCGATCTTCATTATTATAAGTTTCTTCTCTCCTTTTACTGCTCTGTTTATTAATACTACGTTTGCGAAAAATAAAGGCTTATTAATCCTTCTACTGTACTGCAAACAATTCGAATATCAACCAACAAACCCTTCACGACAATCGGTGCTTTTTAGAAATAGCGATCGTTCTGTTTAATGTCTGTTGTAATCGTGTTGCACTATATTGTGAACTATGAATGTAATAATATGTAACAAGAAACTAATTTTCAATAGTGCAAAAGACGAGGGAATAAGAAATAAATGATTTAAAGATTTTAAAGTAAATGAATTACATCCAAAATCCTCAGATATTGTTTATTAGTCGAGATTTTTTGTTTTCAAATTTTATATTTTCATTATATTTCAACTAGAATTTATTTATCCAGAATTAGTACTTTAAGTAATGCGCTAAATACGGTATGCTGAAAACGCCGTAATTTGTAATTATTATGTTATGGATAACCTAGCAGAATTTGTCATATAAACTACGAAGAAGGAAAAACTTGAAAAATTATCGCAAGTAATTGCGTATGCATTACTTATGAATTTTTATTTCAGTCGGGATGGCGAGAAAGCGAGAGTATCTTCCACGAGCAATTGAAAATGCTGAAGCCACATGGTTTAACAGCATTTGGTACTGCTTTAGGATCAGCACTGAGGTATTTAACATATAGTAATACAGATTTTCATTGACCAACATCTTTGTTTGTTTGAGCATCCATAAGTTAAGACTATGTTATGCTATAAAAACACGAATGCTTTAACTGGTTATTATTAGATGTTTGATGTAAGCTTCAAAGATGAATAAATTATGATGTCAAAGCATATGACTAGGAATTATCGGTGCATTGTTTTTAATTTTTGTTCAAGATTTGTAAATGTAAATCGACTGCAAACTGGCATTGATCATTTTGGTTCTGGTCGTTATCCATTTTATATTGAACCAGTTGTTATAATTAGTATAACTGATGGTAACTGTTTGACATGTCCCCAGTTTGGAGCTGTTAATGAGGTAAATCTTCGTTTAGTAGATTTATTTTAAGTTTGTGCTGAGATGATAATATAGGATGACTAAGATGACAAGTTTTTTTAAATGCAGTAGGTAGCATTGATTATTTAATAAGAAATAGTATGTTTCCTACAGATGGTGCGAAAGTTTCTCATGTACGATTGTTTTTGTAAATATGCAGGAAAACTTCACTATGTGAAGTTTTTTCCTGCATATTTATCTGATGATAATTGATCCTTTCGTTCCAGATTAAAGTTGCTAAGCCTACAGCAATTGGTAACGAACTGATTGGAGAGCCGTTTAGATGGGACCAACGCCTTTATTCAATAGTTCTACGTCTCAGCGGTACTCCTATGGGAAAAGTCTCCCCTGGAATGAATATACCTTCTGATAGTAGTCCTATTGATGCGATGTGTATTGCAACTGGAGGTAAGTAGTCATAATTATTGAGATTTTCTTATGAGAAAAAAGATCTTTCTATTTTTCTTGTAAATCAGTTCTCAGTGCTTGCTTAAAATTGGATTTAAAAATTTCTTTCTTGTTTTATTTTTCGTTTTCATATGGATTATACTTGTATGTACATTAATGGGATTTTTTAAACAGCAGTAATATTTCGGAATAATTTCAGGACGGTCATATTCCGTATCATCGCATGAAATGCTAGCTATATGCGTTGAATCGATTGTTCAAAAATTGCAACAACAGGGAATCATCTTACGCTTCGAAAAATATGGACTAGTTCCCACATTAAGTCTCGCTATTTTTCGAAATTTTCAACGATTTATTTTTAATTTTAACTTCTGAATTAAAAAATAATGCTTTATGAATTCGTTTGGATCTCATTCCGGAAATTAAATGGTCTTTTTTTTTAGACCGAACAAACGGCAAAACAGAAATTCAAAAAAAAAAAAAATGGTGAATTAGCATCGGTTGGTGGTAAATCATTTAATTCAGATAACTGGCATAATGTTACTTGTATCGTCCATTTGCGGGCATCACGATCATATCCCGGGCACTGGCCCATTCCAGAGGCGTTTTGGCTCGATCGCAACATGTATTTTCTTTTTTTTTTTTTTTTTTTGATTTACAACCTTAAAGCATTGCTCAATATTTTATTGCATATTCTTGCTTTGGGAGAAAATTTCATGATGTTCTATTCATTCTTCAGTAACTGAATTTAGTCTTGATTTTCTTTTTTCTAATACATTCAGTTGCAGGATAAGTTTGCCGGCACGAAAAGCTCATCCAGTGATCTCATTTCGTTGTGAATCTAGTGAACCTGTTGTTTGTCAGGATTTCCCATTTGATAAATATGAGCTTGAGTCTTTATCTTTAACAAAATTTGTATTATAGCGTAAACAACATGGAGTCTGTTGGCAGGTATAATTTCTCTTTTCTTTCCAATTGTTGTGATGTTTTCTTGACAAGATCATGACTTTTTTAGACTTGAAACTTTCGGTTCCATCGGCTTCTTTATGTACGGAATATATTTTCATGAGTTTCACTGAATTCAGAAGATGGGCTTCAAGTTACTTCAAGACAAGGCATTAAAACCAAGAGGGCTTAACGCAAGCAATTAAAACTAGCTCATTTAGTTATTAGAAAGGAATTTCTTTTAGAAGATTCGTATGCACCTCGTCTCATTTATGTCATAACAAACCGTGGCCATTGGATTTGTTTTTTATTAAAATAATGAAAATTTTAGGTTTTTGTCCATAATTCAAGTGTACTCGGGAGTTCACTGGTTCCTTTCGGATGCCTCAAAGCGGCCACCAATTTATCATGCGTAAATTTATTTATAATGCCTATAATTATCCGCTTCTGCTTCCGCTAATTGAGGAAGTGAAGATGGACCTGAAAGCCAAAAATAGCCATTCCTGGCGTTTGCGTCTGGAAAAATATTTGGCCACTGTTCCAAGTTACTATGTGCAGGTAAATCTTATTTTTGCGGCAAAAGAATTATCACTCTTTGATAGTGTCTTACGACCAATGACTGTTTTCATATGGTTCAAACAGGAAGATATAGGATAATAATAGGACTAAGTTGAACTCTCTATTCAGGCTTATATTATAGTATTATTTGTACATGTGTGTCAAAACTGTAGTTCTTTGGTTATTTTCGAGGAAATGAAGAAATAATGCATGATTGTGTGCGGACTTGAGTCAAGATTTTAACATTTCCAAAAGGCTTTATAATTTAAACGAACGTGGGAGAGTATTTCTATATTTGTTTTTTCTATAATTTTAAAAATTGGAATTTTGCTTTAGCCACTAAAAAAGGCATTCACTCGATTAAGTATCTCACATTCCCTGTTGGAACCTGACCAAATGCAGTAGTATTCGTATAATATATTGTCTTATATTGCGAAAGTGAAGCATATGGCTCGTGAAGAATTTGAATCGCTATGTAGTACCGTGGCAGCATCGTTACAAATTTTGCCTCCTCTTATATCATTGGTTTGTTTTAAACATAATTATAAAAATGTATAAAACCACTTATCTATCGAAACAATCGTTCATGCTGTAATTTTAGGTTGGCGTTCAGAAGCGTACATGTTTTTTGGGATGGTAGAGGCACGAAAAGGATCTCTGAATACAATAATGATATGGACAATTTTCATGGATTCCAGGTTCTTTTTTTTAACTTTTTGTTGGTGTGTGTGTTGTTGTTATGGCACATGCCACAGGTATGGCACATCCCTCAATATGCAGGCCTTTTTGTTTATTAGGTTTTGTCACTGTAATCATAGTAGGCATGAAGATCAGTTATGGTCATTACTTTGAAGACCAGATGAGTGTAACCATGCAGCTTATTATAGGTACAAGTTGAGATTCCCAAAATATTTATTGCTCCATCGTTACAATTTCGAAATCCATTTGAAATTAGACGGAGTAAACTTTTCGAGCAAGTGCAGAAAATGCGAATCAATTTAATGCAAACAGCTCAATGTAGGGCTGATACCAATGTTTGAAGGTGGTCGACCTGGCTCTAGTATAAAATTGCAACATGCGGGTTTGTTTTTTCTAATATTTCTCATTTTCAAGCTGAAATACGTGTTGTATTTACTTTTATTTGCAGAGGATTTGCATAATCTTCCCATTGGTCAGATGGGAAATTATCGAGAGTCTTGAGGCTGTAGGACGTGGTCCACTTAGAGAAGTTGAACTTCAAGCAATCCGCGTATATGCGTTCGGGAACCCTTTTAAAATTGATAAGGTGCATTCGTGTGACATTTTTGACTGATAAATCTTATAACCAAATAGTTAGATGAAATATTGCCTATCAGTGAAGATTTGTAATTAGGACGTATTACTTCTGAGAGATTTATGTTATTTAGCTTACCTTAAAAGTGTGGAGGAAAGACTTTGTTTAAGCTGTAGATTCTGAATATTTGATTATTTGCATATCAAAGATCCATTCCTAACCTGCTTAAACAAATAATATAAATAAGAAAACACTAACAAAGATTTTATGAATTTTATTGACTTTAATATGATGTTTCCTGCTTACTAATGTTTGTTTTTTCATCGATCTCATTGGTTCACTTATTGGAGTTTCGAACTTATGTGTACACTATTGTCACGGATTATCTTTGCTTGCTTATTCAGGCGGGTGCTTCTTCATCCTATCTTTTGTCCAATGTACAAAATCTACCGTATTTAGAGACGAAGTAATTGTTTTCACAAACCATAGTTTTTATAAATACATTTCTCAAAGTAAACTTGAGGAGGACCAATTATAATCGGGAATTGCGAAGTCCTTTATTTTCTCCTCTGTCGTAAAAACAAACAAAGTTGAAGCTGAGACGGTATTTAGATTTCCAGCTCGCAGTCACTCAGATATTTCTCCACAGGTAAAAGATTTCCGAAACTTTCAAGGGATTATTTGAATCCACTGGATGCAGTCCGAAAATGTTTTGGATGTGTAAAATTTACTTATTTAGCGGATAAATTTTTGGTGAAAAGCAATTCGGTTGTTATCAGTCTTAAGCACGGCACGCATTTTTTTCTAGTTTGTTCAGTTGCATATGTTATTTGGATAAGAGTAATTGATGTATTGCAAAAAAAAGAATGTAGCATCACAAGCAGAACTAATTTCTTTTTTTTGCGGATTGATTCAGTTGTTCTTGCTATTCTGTACAACGCAATGAGTACAAAGTGAAGTAGCTAAGTCATTTTATTATGCGGCCTCGAAAGTACCATTATGAAAAATAGCTCGTCCTTCTGTCTCCTGATAAGAGTCTGCATCAAATGATACGAATGGTTGCGTGGTATTTTAAAAGAAGGAAGGAAAAAGGAATATATAGAGTTGAACAAATCTTATCTTTCTTACTGTTAAAACGGGAATATACTTTTGAGATGTCGAGGAATAAATTGAGCTAAAACCAGATCCTGAAAGCAGAAAAGAATAAGAAACAGCTCAAATCGGATTCTGAAAACAGGAAAGAGTAAGAAGCAGCTCAAATCGAATTCTGAAAACAGAAAATAGTAAGAAACAGCTCAAATGGAAATGTTACTAGCTCAGTTCAAGTTAATGTCTTTTCTATTCTATAAATTTCATAAATGAAACATCATTGTATAAGATATGCTGCCGGAAATACCAACAATTAGAACTGTTTGCCCCGCTTTACCATTACCATTACTGTTATTGCCCGCCCAAACAAAAAGATTTCATATAAATCAAAAAAGAAAGAAGCGCAATACAGTAGTCTGTTGCTACTTTTGCTTATAACAAAACTGAGTATTGTTCAGTTGTTATGGCAATAGCCAATCAGATTAGAGTGATATGAGGTTGACGAGCTGGGCGGTTGGGTTAGTCATTATCAGTTTGTCGCTTGGTTAGGTCGGCTGCTCTGTGCTCTGTGCGCACTTATCTTTTCATTTGTCATTCACGCATTTTTGCGTAAGTTTTATCACGAATTTGATACAATTTTGATGTGGTTTATGTTGGTCATTTGCGTGAATTATACGTTATGTCTTATACTGATGTGACTGTTGATTCCTATTTGGCTAATATGTGTCAAATGATGAATATTATATAATAAAATCACAAACTAACTGACATTATTTTTGTTATTTTGTACACGTTTTTATTGAAAATAACAATTTATGAAGCATAATGGTAAGTGATACTGTTCCTCCTTTGTATCTATTTTATTAGCATGCTATTTTACGAGACGGTCCCCAAAACTGCCAGATATCGATCGATCGGTCGCCCGCATGTGTTGTTTGCAACAGACGCCCCATTTCGCCTAAAGTAGAGTGCATGCGTAGTGCGCTAGCAATGTAATAAAGATTGACTCTTTCTGTGGATTTCTCTTTATTATTTGTTATTTTGTTCGTTCTCTGTTGGTCTGCGATTCACTTTCTGGCGTATTGATGTGTACTGCAGGAAAATGCTCGTGAAAGCGAAAGAAATGAGTGCTGCATGCACGCGCGCGCGTTGACGTGCTTACGTGTGGTAGCACTGCAGATCATTCAATATAACATAATTTTGCTGGAAAGGTAATGCGTGTGTAGGATTTATTGCATGTTTCGAACTGACTGTTTTGGGAATCATGTGCGAAACCTCTCCACTACCCCTTTTTTTTCTCGTTTTGTTTATGCATAAAATTATTACATGATTCCTCAATAACATGCTTGAACCGCGGGATTACGGAGGGAGAAACTCACTCTTCGTAACGTGAAGGCAATTACTGCAATGCTTTTTATTGAAAATCAAATTTCGGTACGGTTTTCGTGCATTTATGTCATCCTGAATGTGGCGAGTATTATTAATAAGTGTTAGTAATAACTTATTAATAAGTTTAGCTCGGCGTGAGGTCTTGTGGTGAGACGTTTTGCATTACGTGTCTGCAGAGGAATTATGCGTGTTGGTAGTACTTTATGGCACAAAAACCTCATGGATTTATTTGGTCATCGTTGAAAACAAGAGATCTGGAATCAGAAAATAGAAGAGATAGACGGATTTCTATTTGTGCATTATTTTATTCTGTTCGCTATAAATGATGTTGTTGTGCTGATTTGCTTAGAATTTTTTTGCGTGATATGTGCAGTACATTGTATTTTAACTTGCGAAACTTTCAGAAATGTCTCTTTCTGCTGCTTCAACTTCAAATGCGAATAATAGCAGTAATGAGCCTGTAACAACTAGCGGCAGCATCCTTGGAGTTTCAGAAAACCCATCTGTATCGAATGAGAAAGCATCAGTAAACACGGAAAACATTCAAATCGAGGGATCGCAAAATGGAGAAGATGCTTCTTCGGAACAGCATGTTGATGATGGAGATAATGACGACAATACTATAATGACGACAGCTCTGCCATCAATAAATGGCTGGGAGTCGCCACGACAGGTTCATCATTTAACTTTGCTTGTCTCGCACATACGCGATGCAATTAAACGGTGATACGATTGATTGATTAGTTTTGCATGCATCATTTGAATCATATTAGTTCTATTTAATTGTCAGGCATTCCCAAAATGTTCTAGGAAGCAATTAATGGAGTAGTACAGCCGCGTGTAATACCACCGCCAGGTAAGCCTACACGGCATACGAATCAACTTGAATTCATGTTGAAGGAAGTTTTAAAACCAGCGATGCGTCATAAACATGCTTGGCCATTTATGAAACCTGTAGATGCTGTACGTCTAGGTTTACCGGTACGTTATTCTTTTCATTGTAAGTAAATTTTTGAGCTAATTCAACTATATTTTTGTTTGCTCATGGCTTCTTTTCAAACTATAAATTGGGTGGATCCAAATTTTTTACATGTTAAGGATAACGATAACTTTGGTTTTTTTTTAAGGATTATCATAAGGTGATCAAGCGTCCAATGGATATGAACACCATCGAAAAGCGCTTGCGCAACTGTTACTACTATTCGGCAAAAGATTGCATGCAAGTAAGTAGGCCGTTGTTTTTTGAGCTGGAAACGGTGCGTGCGGATGCATACTGTTCGGTCTGCTAAAATAATGTTTCTGCTAATGTTTTAGTTTCTCTCTGTTTTTTCTGTTTTACTAGAAAAATGGGCGGGTGATTATATTATAAAATTGGTTACAAAAATGGGGTGGGTTGTTGTGTGCACACAACTGTTTGTTTTCCTTCTCATCAATTTAAACCAAGAAATATTCCCCGCTTTACAGAAGTATCTAGGAAAACATGAATTTAGAGTGATGTTCTGCCTCAGTTTTATATTTTCTAAAGGATGAAGAGATCCCGAAAGTGAAGAAGTCGCTTCTTTGCAGTTTAATCGATTTTTCCTGCTTAATCGATTGATTTTCTGCTATTATTTTTTAAACGATTGTTTTGTTTAACTATTACAGGCGGGAAGTATTTCTGTATCACTTTTTTGTTTTAAGTTTTTTTGATTAGTGCCCCTTTGGTTTTGGTGGGCGCTGTTCCAAAGTCATTTGCAAAGAGAACATCGCAACGCGAGCATATTTCATAAGTGATTCGGTCGAAAACGAAAGAATAAAACGAGGATTATGTGGCATTAATTTCATTTGAATCAATCACGTTTTGCGCTGCTTCATTCCCGTTCACTCCTAAATTTTTGGTGTTTTTAAAAGTGAGCTGTGTTTTGTGTGTGTTTATTCTTTTTTTCTTGTTTTATTTTTTTAAGTTGGAAAAAAAAGCTCGATTATTTTCTGTTGTGAAACATTATTACTTGAAAAAACCTAGTTTCTTGTTTGGTGGACTTTTTTTATGCTAAAGTAATGTTTTTTGATAAAAGGGGAGAGAGAGTAGGGGTGCTTTGTTCTTATTTTGGCTAATATTTTTTACTGCCTTTCTTATATTTCGTGTTTTTATGTATTTTGGAGCACTAAATATTTTTGTTAATGTTTTTGTACGAGTTGTAGTAGCTCTGGCTTGCTATACGGGTTGAACATATGCTATGGCATATCTTTGAAAATATAGATTATATTTCATTAGGAATCGGAATTGTACAGTTCTGGAAGGAGAAGGGACTAGGAGTGTATATAAACTTTCACGGAAGGAACCGCTTCACTGGAATATATGCATCGTATAATGACACATTTTGAATTTTTTAATAGTTCGGATGTTAGAAGCTTGATTGAATGCTGTATAGTTTTTTGATTTCGAGTTAAAAAAGTAGTATCGAGTCTCTCTGTAAGCTAATGAAGCGGAGTTGTGTTTTTTTTTTTTTTCACTTGATTTTTATTTTTATTTTTGACTGAATCTGATTTGAAAATTACCATTCGTAAATAAGAAAAACCGCTATTCGTTATCAATGTGGCAATTAGAATCATGGGAGTTTACAAACAGCTATAGAATGTATTTTGCATGCAATCACGGTATTATCGAAGGCATTTCAATCTCTGTAGTCTTAGTAGTTGCACTAAATATATGCTACCAACTGCCCTATATGCATGATTATTTTGTTTGTTTTTTTTTTTGTAAGTTGGCACCTAGGTATGAAAAACCACCGAAATTGGCGATAAGACAGTATTTAGTTTCTTCATAAAACATTATTTGATGGAATTTTTATGTGCTCTTAGATTTGCAACCGTACTGGACTTGCGAAGAGAATATGAAATAAGGAGTGGAAGCAGAGAGGTCTAGGCCACTTTCTTTCATTACATATTTGCGATTTTGGAAATTTTTGTATTTTTCTTGCAATATATGACTCCCTGCTAAATGTGGAAGATAAAGTCTAGGTATTTCTCTGGTAGTTAATCGAAAAATGCATTCTATTTCAATGTTTGTTATATTCAATTCTCAGAATTGTTCCGACGGTAAACAGATTTAGATTATGATAGTAATTCGGTGAGAATTGACCAAACGCTGGGGTGGAAGAGAGGACATTGCTTTCGATTTTCGTATTTGTGAGCCAGAAATTAATAGTGAGTTGACCGCAGAACAGTTTTTTCAAATTTCAATCCTGATTAAATATTCCATTTTTTCATGCTGCGTATTGGTGGTTTCTTTAATGGCTTCGTTTTTTGTAAATGCTTAAAGGTGATAGTCCCCGAAGTAAGGTATTTTAAGTCTACATCTTTCGAACCGCAAATTATTAAGAAAAAAACCATGTATGTCTTTAGGAATACATGCAGTCTATTTTATGTAGTTTGCTGTATGTTTGCTTGGGAGTGGATGGCAATTGTTGCAGCTTAAAATACTTTATGCAAAAACTGTTGCCACTTTAAAGCTTGAAATAGCTAGCAGCTAAGCGCGGTTCTCTTTGTTCAGGACGTTATGACAATGTTCAACAATTGCTACACGTACAACCCTCCTGAGTACGGGGTTTATATGATGGCGAAGAACCTGGAACAGTACATTCTCAGCAAACTCGCAGCGATGCCCCCGGAAGTAAGGCTTTTTAAATTATTCAGTACATCTGTTTTGCCAGCTTTCAGGATTTTGAGTCCATTTTTTCCAACTGCTACAAATTCAACCAAAATGAGGACGATGTATCACTTATGTGCAAGAATGTCGAAAATTTGTACCGGGAAAAAATGAAACTACTGCCGTCTCAGGTATTTTTGAAACTTTCACACTGTGCGATACGTACAGTGTTCTACAGGTTTGTGAATTTTTTTTTTTGCTTTTTCTCTTTTCTTTTTTTGATGTTTTGTCTTTATTTGTGTTGCCTTAATAGCTGTTAGAATTTTATTCTAGGAAGTAGAAATACCGCGTCCAACAGCTAAGCGAGCTGCTGGTAAATCGAAGAAATCAACTGGTCGTACGGCAATCGTTAAAGGAGGTGATTGTTTTCGTGCAGTTTTACGATTTGGTAGCTTCAAATTATATTTTTTTCGTAGTTGATGGTTTGTAAATTTCAATTCAGGAAGCCGCGAATCGTCTGTATCTGTACAACGTGGAGCTGCTGACAGTTCATCTGTTTTGGATGCTGCAGCAAATGGAGCTGTTCATGCTACTGCATCTACTGTAGACGATGTTCATCCAACATCATCGCAAGTGCCTGTTCAGCCTGTTCTTCCTTCGAAGGTTTTTTGCTTTCTTTGAAGATTTTTCTGTTCGTTTCGTGAAACTTTTGTTTTGATCTGAACAATATCAACTGCAATTTCTCGCCAATTTTTGCAACTAGTAAGAATATTTTGATGTTTATTATTGACAGTGGGAACGTAGACTAATTTTAGTTAATGAAATTAGTAAAAAAAAAGTTAAAAAAATTGAAAAAAGTATATTAATTAATTTTAGGTTCAGAAGGCGTCAAACGGAAAGCAGATACAACAACATCATTTGGTGATGATGTCATAAATGCAAAAATTGCAACTCGTCGAGAATCTGGCCGACCACCCAAAAAGCCAAATTACTTTATTGATTATAATCAGTTGAAGCCACGTTTTAAAGGAAAACAAACTGAACAGATGAAATTTTGCCAGCGACTCGTCAACGAATTATTTACGAAGGTAAGCAACAGTAAATTCTGTTGTTGGAGATGCAGATATTTTGTCTATAGCTATTGGAAAAAAAAAAAAACTTTTTTACTGCATATTATTGATTCTGTGAATTTGAACTAAGGAAATGATATGTTTATAAATAACGCTAATCATCTTTTTTCTAGTGGTGCATTTTTTCCAATACCGATTTTTTTTTTTTTCGTTTTTTGGACTGAATTTGGCATTTCTTTGCATATTGTTTCTTACATAAAATTAGCGTGTATTTTAGAAGTGTAAGTCGTTTACTTGGCCATTTCTCGAGCCGGTGGACGTTGAGGGTTTGAAATTGGAAGATTACTATGATATAGTGAAGAATCCAATGGATTTGGGGACGATTAGGTAATGGGCTGTCAACTTTCATTCAAACTGTAATGTTGTCAATGTTTATTTGCTGTTTGTTCCTTGATATGATTTTAAAATTATGTTATGTGCCATATAACCGGTTGGTTAAATATTGCCGGTTAGATATAACCAGTTAAATATTGGTACTTTTTTTTGAAATTCTTTTTCATTAACAGTAGATCAATGCTTTAAATTCCTGAAATTCCTAGATAAAGCAATAGATTTAAGGAGGAAGTTAGATGCCAAGCAATATGCCACACCAGAAGAGCTGCGGGCTGATGTTATCTTGATCTGCGAGAACTGCTACAAGTACAATCCCACATCAGATCCTATCCATCAGCACGGTCGAGCTCTTCAGGTTACTTGAATTAAAATTTTTAGATTTAAAAATACCAAAGTTTTTTTTTTTGATTGTCGTAAAATAAAGGATTTTCAGAAATATTTCGAGGATAAGTGGCGCCAAATGCCTGAGGAGCCATCAGCAATTGATGAGGAAACAACGGCTGTGGTAGCAACATCAATTCCTGCACCAATAAGTCACGCACCAGCTCATGCGGTTACATCAGCTTCTGCAATAGTCAAGGATGAATCAGTGGTGTCTGGTCTTCCTCTTGTGCCACTGAATGTTTCCTCAGGTGTTATCGACAGTGATGAACATATTGATCTCATTTTACTTGCTCTGCAAACTGAAACTGCCAAATGTCAGGAAAAAATATCTGAGCTTCAGCGTCATTCTCAGGAAATTCTGTCGTTAAGGTTCGCTTTTTATTTTCTCTGCGTCTCCATATTTTATGTTAGGCCATGTAACAGAGATGGAAGAGAGTAGTTTAACTGAAAGTGTAAATATGAAAATGTCAACGAATTTATTTTGTGATTCTGATCCGTTTTAGACTGAAACGAAGGGAGGCTCAAGCAAATCATCTACCCGTTCCAGTTCTTTCTGCAGCCACCGTAGGCACCTTCAATCTTTGGTTTCAACACAGTTTTTGTTTATTGCCAATAGCCCAACTTCGATGACGAAACCATCTACTGTATATCCAGCCAGCATTGGTGCTACTCCTGTGTCACGTAAAAAACCGGGTCGTCCCGCCAGAACTTATCAACAGCAAGCCTCTGGATTACCTACAGGACTGCGTACGAACCACACAGAGATATCACCGCAGGATCGAGTTCTGAAGCATGAAGTGAATTCACCTTTGAGTAAAGCTTCTGCTCAACAACGACAAGTCCAAAATTCAGTACATGTGTCTAGTCCAAATGTACGTACAGCGACAACGGTTCCACCTCAGGGAACACCTCAAAAACCTCCTGAACAAAGTGTATCAGCATCAGTAGCGCGGAAGCGTGGTCGGCAACCCGGCTCTAAAAACAAGCCAAAAACAGATGCGGCACAGTCAGGCACGACAGTATCAGACACTCCATCGCGGCAGTCTGGATCCAGAAGGGTGTGTGAAGATTATGACTTCGATTCGGAAGATGAACGCACTGCAGAGCCAATGAGTTATGACGAAAAGAGACAACTTTCTCTGGATATCAACAAGCTACCTGGTGATAAGCTAAGCAGTGTAAGTTTTTGTAAATTGTTTATTTGAGGTATTGGATTTGTGGTTTCAATATACTCGATTTTTTTGGATTGTTATTCTGTCTCCCCAGAAATCTTTCATGTTTTTTTCAGTTCAGAGGTCATGTTTTGCTATAGTTACAGTCTGTATAGAAATATTGTGCCATCATATGATATATCTGTATTCCGGAAATATGAACTATTATTGAGTGTTCTGCAGGTTCAGATTTGTTGTTTTTTTCAGGTTGTCAGTATTATTGAATCTAGAGAGCAACTTCCGGGTTTTAACCCTGAAGAAATTGAAATTGATTTCGAGACTCTTAAGGCTACTACATTGCGCGAATTAGAAGCATTTGTTGCGGCATGCTTGAAAAAAAAGCCGAGGAAACCATATAGTATGTTTCAG